ACCCTGACTACTATAGAACTGTTAGAATTTTATGGTCATACATGGGCTGTTTTCATTAAAACTGTCCCTCTAAAGTCACTCCTGGGGTCTTCCCTCTCCCCAATGAGTATGACCTTCTGGAGATGTCTTTTAATCCCATGGGCATTCTGGAAGCTGCTATCTCTGCAGGTGGAGGTGATACTTTATGGGGGAAGGAGCCAGCATCTAGTGTAGATGGTGAGAGGGTTAGTGCTAAATCAGCCACAGGCCAGGAGTACACATGCCCTGGACTCAGAGTTTCCAATCTAGTGTAATGTTGATGTGTTTTATTTTATTGTTTGGGGTTCTGAGGAAGGAGGCTAGGCCTTGTTCACAAGGAACTTTAAACAAGGTGTGCTTTGATGAGGATTGTACAAAGGGGGGAGGGAGATCTAGTCATTCTCTCCCAGATTATGTATTTGAGGATCTACAATGTGCCCACCCCTATTCTGGAAAGCTTCCTGGAAGAGAAGCCATTTGATATGGACCTTAAAAGAGGGATGAGTTCATCAGGCCTGTCAGGAACAGGTATAAATTTAAGATTTAAGAGACCCAGGAGAGCCCTAGCCAGTTTGACTCAGTGGTTAGAGCTTTGACCCATGGACTGAAGGGTCCGGGTTCAATTCCGGCCAAGGGCACATACCTCAGTTGCAGGATCATCCCCGGCCCTGGTTGGAGCGAGTTCAGGAGGCAACTAATTGATGTGTCTCTCTCACATTGATGTTTCTCTCTCTCTCTCCCTTCCACTCTCTCTGAAAAGCAATGGAAAAAATATTCTCTGGTGAAGATTAAAAATAATAATAATTAAATAAATAAATAAATAAATAAATAAACCGGAAGAATTCAATGAAGAAAAGTTACTACTTAATATACAAAATTTGAAATATCTGTTTTAATTTCTCTACAGTCAATGTTCTGCTTAACATCTGGAAGGATTTGGGGACATTTTGTTTTAGTTTAGATTACTAACCAAACTAACCAGTTGCGTTTTCACACCAACCAGTTCCAAAGATTTATCAGTTTAGTTCTGCTCACCTGAATGTCAGTTTTGTGTGCGATTCAGATTTCAGACACAGAGTATTTACAAATACTTAAAACACACACAAATATCCATTTGATTGATCCACTTAATAAATCTGAATTAAAGGAAGTACTAAAGCAACAGTCTATATTGACAATCTGCTGTAAGAGAGAAACCTGCTCTATCTATAATTCATAAAATCCATGATATCAGAGACATGTACAACTATTCAATGGAAATGAATCGGTTCTCCTACCCCCACATCATAGACACACGTACTGAGAAAAAAAAACCAACAGGGAACTTTTATCTTTGTCAGGTTGTGGTGAATTGACTGCAACTAAATGGTGAATCAAGCCACAAGGAAGACTAAATGGAGCTAAAATGTTAAACTGGACCAAGAAAACTTCAGAGAAGTCTTCAAAAACTGTTACCTCATCTCACCTGACACAAATCTCTGTAATTCTTATCAAGTGTTTTTTAAAAAAAAAATTTTTTTTGTAAATTGGGAAATACCAGCAAATGGACCATTTGCAGAACTAGTCTTGGCAAACTGATTTTCAGAGAAGTGGCTTTCAGAGAATGGAGTTTCCCTGAAGTGCCCTAAAGCCCAGTTGGCTCCTCAGAGGCTCCTAGCACACTTTCTAGTTCTCCTTGGTGTCCTAGATGGGGGCAGAGCTGCTGCATGGACTTGGTGTGAGGGAGCGGAACCCAGCTCAATCCTCAAAGTCTTCAAGGAAGTTTGGAATCAACAGGGAAACCAGTTCTGTGTATCTCCTGCAGAGTCAGGTGTGACAAGAGTCACTGACAGGATTGCCAGCTTTTGGAAGACATTCTGCTCTGTGGATCCTCACCAACCCCCTGTACCAAACCCCTTCCCTCCTCCCTGCCCCCCAGTTCCTCCAGGAGCTGGGCGACCAGGTGAAGTGAGAGTCAGTGGAGCAGACGGCCCTTAGAGCCCTCAAGGCCAGTTCAGATTCTTGTTTCATTCAGGACCTCAAGTGAGTCACTTCCCCTCCCAGACCCTCAGGTTTTCTTTCTGTTCTCCTGGGGCAATTGATACAGAGAAGTTTCTGCTGCTTTCTTCTTGCCTTGAGGCCCCATCAAGCCCTTTTCGGGAACAGCTCATCAACGAGCCTCAGACATCCAGTCTTTTAATACCAACCAACTCTCCTATGTCCCTGGGCTGCTGGCAGCTTCATTTCTCTCCTTTCCCCTGTGAATCCTCCTCTCCCAAGTACTGCATGCACTATTTTTAGTGTAACATACTTTAGACATACAACATATGGAGAATAAAACAGCTAGCTTCCATGTTGCTGTCAGCCAGCTTAAGAAACAAAACATGCCCGGCCAGGCATGGCTCAGCGGTTGAGCGTTGACCTAGGATCCGGGCGATCGGGATTCAATTCCCGGTCAGGGCACATGCCCGGGTTGCGGGCTCGATCAATGACTCTCTCATCATGGATGTTTCTGTCTCTCTCTCTTCCTCTCCTTTCCTCTCTCTGAAATCAATAAAGATATATTTTAAAAACATAAAAATATAATAATAAAATAAATAAAAAAGAAACAAAACATGAAGGCATCAATTGAGGGCGTCTGTGCCTCTCTCTTCGAGGAAACATCAGTCCTGAACTTGGGGTTCACCGTTCCCATGTATGAGCTACATATTTCTTCAGAGTCAGAAAAAAAAGAATTTTTTTCAAAAGAAAAAAATCCATTTTACACTCCACAGACTCGAACAGTTATTTGTTCTCAGACATTTGGACCTCATCGGTTGGTGAAATGTCTAAATTAACTCTGGGCACTTGTAGGACTCTCAGAATAAGAACATAAAAAAAAAAAAAAAAAGCCCCACTAAACTATCATCTACTATTACAGTAGCTTTATGACAGAAAAGGCCTTTAACATGGAGAGTATAGAAGGAGTGTAGATTCAAAATTTTAGAAACTGAATACATTTAAGTTAGTCAAAATGTCTTTATTTTTCTCATTTCACACATAGCCTGAAAAACTGCATCTTAGACCTGCTTGGCATTTAGGAATCACTAATTCAGAAACTCATTGCTATTACCTATGTCCCTCAGAGGATGGGGACTTTCTGGAGTCAACCAGCCCCATCCTAGACCCAGGGAGCACTTTTGCCACCCACCCCTCCTCAGCTTACCGCTGCCTCTGCCCCATTTTCTTATCTCTAAGTCTTTGTCTGCAAGTCTTTATGTCCAGATAAAGATCCCACACCTTCCTCTCCAACACGTCCCATCCCTCCCTCAGAGCCCTTAGGGACCTCAGAATTCCTTCCCGTCTTCCGTCACAGTCCCCCCAGCCCACTGGCCACCATCCAGCCCTCAAGCCCATCACCTTCCCTCACTGTGTCCAACCACAGGCCACGCTCTGGAAGGGACATGGCTAAACTCTGAGGACAGGGAGACTGGAGTGACTCACCAAAAATGTCCAATGGGGGAAAATAAAAGAAACATGTCATATGCGGAAGCCCTACCTTGATGACCTGGCCCCGCTCCCACCCCCACCACAGGAACTCAAGTGAGGGGGTGTGCGGTACAGGGCCTGGCACCAGGGTTTTGCCAAAACCCCTGAAGAAAGGTGGCTCTGCCTCTCTCCATCCTGAGCTGAGAAGCACTGACTAGGACAAGACGAAGTCATTCATCACTGCCAGTTTGGACTAAAGTTTCATTCAGTTAAACAAAAACAAAAGAAAAACTCACTTCATGAAGGGGGAAGCAGAAGCTCATCAGTAAATGGCACCCAAGGCCACACAGCCAGTTGCAGACAGTGCTGACTGGTCTCTTAACCCCCCTGGGCCTCGGTTTCCTCATGTGCAAGATGAGCTCAGATCAGACTATCTCTGAAAGTCAGGACATGGGAGCTTCAAAAATCCAGAGCTGTGACAAGCAGCCTCAAATAAGTCTAAATTTTAAAAACTACACAGCAATACTACAAACCCAAGTTTAAATGGCAGCTCTCTTGATGTCAGGGTGGGCCGGGAGGCTACCAACAGACCTTTATCTCCCATCTCTGTCTTTCTGACTCTTCCCAGCTTCTCTGTGGAGCACACCCATTGCCTGGGGGCAACTTCAGAGCCCCCAACTTACAGGAAACTGTGAAGGGGCAACAGCAAGGTGCTGGGTCCTGCGGGGCAGGCGTCAGAGAAAAGAAACTTCTTACAGATGGCTGGCCCTCAGCTTGGAAACACCCTAGTCCATAGCCCTGAGGATCCAACTGGAAAGCAGCCCCACCTCAAGGTGCACAATCCTTTTGCCAATCACAGCACCTCTGTCCTCCTCACTTCCCGACTGTCCTGCCTTTTTCACTCCATCGAGGCCACCTCCACCTTCATGGTTTTTAAATCTACACAACCTGCATCTCAAATACAGGACACACACACATACACACTTTTTAAAAAATAATCTGAGCCTAAAGAACAGTTGGCTGTATCTAAAGTATGGTCAACTTTATTGTTTGTGCTGTAGGCAGTGTCCCAGCTCTGGGGTCCAGGCTCTGATCTTAACCCAGAAACTCAGGCAAAGAACCATGCCTCTTCTAGCCCGCCCCATGCCCAGAGCGCAAGGAGAGGCAGCAGGCAGACCTGTGGCCTGCTCAGGTTGGTTCTCCCACTGTGGACCAGTGACAGGGGTAGAGGCTCAAAAGAATCCCACATGTCACCTTTTGGGACCCTTCAAGCATTTAAGTACCAGCGCAGCACCCTCAGAGCTCACATTCCTTTTATTCGGATCACCACCTGGCTTTGGGGTTCCTCACAACAGCCCTGTGAGGTAGGGAACACCCCCACTCACTGCAGAGAAGTGCAGGAGCAGCCCCAGGTCCCTCAGGCACAGGGGTCTCCCAACAGCACAAGGTGTCCCACCACCCAGACTTTCCCTTTATGTCCCCAAGCAAGGGCCCCAAAACCAGAGTCAGGCAGAGGAGATGGGCCAGACCAGGCCTCACTTCTGTCCGAGAATGCGCGAGAACTCCTCATAGTTCACCCGTCCATCCTGGTCCACGTCTGCCTCCCGGATCATGGCCTCCAGCTCCTCCTGGGAGAGCTTCTGCCCCACCTGGGCCATGGCCTGCTTGAGCTCATCCAAGGTGATGTGGCCGTCACCGTCCAGGTCAAAGGCTCGGAAGACCTCCTGCATGTCCTGCTCGCCGCCCCAGGACTTCATTCTCTTCACCATCTCTGCCAGGAACTCTTCGAAGCTGATGGCACCGTCGCCATCCTTGTCCACCCGGGAGATGAGCTCCTTCAGCTCGGCCTCGGAAGGGTTCTGGCCCAGGGCCTTCATGACAGCGCCCAGCTCCTGCACATTGATGGTGCCATCTCCGTCCTTGTCGAACCTGGCGAAGGCCGCCTTGAACTCAGCCACCTGCTCTTTAGACAGCTCATCCGCCATGTCGCTTGCTGACAACCAGCTCAAAGGGCTCCCGTCAGAGCTGGGGACCAGTGGCTGGGGCAAGGCTGTGTCTGTGTGAGGGCAGAGCTCAGGTGGCAGCCTTGCCATGGGGTGGGAACCCCTCCTTTTCTGCAATCGGAGCAAAGGGAGGAGGCAGGCTCCCCACCCACCCCACGTCCTCAGGCAAAATCCTCCTCCCAGAAGGGACAGACCAGCTGCAGACAAGAAATGCAGGAATTGGAGTGGCAGGGCCCGCCCCGGAGAGGCTGG